CTGGGTTTTTACTGTTATTCTTTGTTTTTTGTTTATGGTTTTGTCTTTGTTTTGAGACAGGGACTCACTCTGTCACCCAGGCTGGAGTGCAGTAACACAATCATGGCTCACTGCAGCCTGCATCTCCTGGGCTCAAGTGATCCTCCCACCTAGCTAGAACTACAGGCATGTACAAGCACACCCAGCTATTTTTTTTTTTTCTTTGTCTCACTGTGTTGCCCAAACTGGTCTTGAACTCCTGGGCTTAAGGGATCCTCCTGCCTTGGCCTCCCAAAGTGCTGGGATTGCAGGAATGATCCACCATGCCCAGTCTTCTTTTTTTAAAAAGATGCTGACATTTTATTTTCAAGTTTTGATTGGATTAGATTGTGAGAACTATCTTTATATAACAGTCCTATTGTAAGTCTTATACATATAAGTAAATAATGGAATCAGAATGTAATTGAACTGTCAATCAAAGGTGTTCTTATTACCCTTACTTGGTTAAACTGGTGCATCTCCTTTTATGAATTTCTTCTGTATAAAAATCAATTCATCCAAGGTTATTGGCCCAGAACACCAGAATGAACAACTTAGAAACTGATTTTGAGTATTTAAAATTAAGCTGTTTAGTCAGAGCATTATTTGTTAGTATTGAATCATGATCAGAACCATAGCATTGTACAAGCAATAGTAAAACCTCTTCCAGGATCTCCTGCTTCTAAGCTTTACCTCTTGAATTTACCTCAGAAAATATAGTTGTACTTTCTTTTTTTCAGAATTAACAAATTGATAAAGAGAAAATAATTATAGGTTACTATTTTGAATGCAACAATACCAATACTTTGAATAACTGACAGTGCATTCTGCAGATATATGTGCCAGAGACTATGAAAAAGGAAACGCTTTAGGAAAAAAATCACATTACAAATGTATTATAAAAAATAAGTTATACAGCATGTGCCCATGGACCTGAAAGCTTTGCAGAAGGAAATTTCTTTTGGCACAAAGATTGAATTGCTCTTGCTGTATATTTTCATATTATCAGCAAGGCCATTTTCAGCTTTTACATTATATACTTTAAAAAAAAAAAAATCACTGGAAGTAGTAAAATATTTCCAGTAGTGATCAGTAGCATGGAGGACCTTAGTCATGATGGAGGGCTATCCATTCAACAGGGATTCAGACGAAGTACACACACCCAGTATGTGCCTGGTTTACCATTTCATCTGGAGTTCATTCGTAACTGGTGAATGATGATGCTTTCTATAAAGAGAAAAAAAGACATAGCATTTTCAATTAAACTGAAACTGAGAATCAAGCTGTATCATTTCTCTAAAAGATCATAGATGTTAAGCAACAAAACAAACAAAAACAGGTACATGAGACTAATAGACTCTCCTGCATTACTGTTCTTGGGCAACATCTTCATATTGGCATATGTACTTTACCTAGAAATTCCTTAAAGCCCTCAGAAACTACGTCTAATGTTCTGACAATAGTAGATCAGTTTTAACCAAGATAAGAACTGAAAACAAAGATAGTAATTATTATATACAAACCCCATAATGAGAAACTAGACTATTTCCTAGAAGTAACTCTAATCTCCCAGCCAAACTTTCTGTTCTGAACAATATTTACACCCCTTCCATTTCTTTTGGTGTGTGTGTGGATCAGAGTTTTATTAAGGACATATTATTTCCAAGAAGTCAATAAATACAGATGGCTCACTTTTGTCTCTGACTGCTTCTTTTTGCATAACTCTGTATGTTTTAAAATATAAATTTATTCTTATAAAAATAAATTTAACCTAGATTGAGATAGTAATTACAACAGTCCAGCATATTATGAATAATTAATATTTATATTTATTTCACTAGTTTTTCTTTTATATTAACCTTTATGCCTTCATGAACATGTATCAGTGTGAATCACTTCATTCAGTCATTGAAGAACTATTTATTGAGGCTGCATACTGTGCTAGGTAGGCCTGGAACTCCATGTACGATCAAAATAAGACAGACTCCTAAATCAATGAGATTATACACAGCAGAGGAAAAAAAATCAAACCTCAAATAGTTTCTTCACTTAAAATTTTTATTATTAATACTTCTTTTTCAACATATGGCACGTGTTGTGAATGCAGAAATTCATGTCAGGGTTTATCAATAACATGAGGAAATTTCTACCTATTACAGTATTTTCACGTTAATCTCAAATACTTAGTATTTAAGTTTTATTTTTACTTATATAGTTAGTATATAAGTAAACATTAATTAAATCATATTATGCCACAGATTTATAGGTTCATAGTAATTACACACAGTGGATGACTATCTGCTAAAAAGAAAATGTTTTCTTCATTTGGTGTAATTAACCTTACCATATAATGACCAATAGGTGGAGCTATTTTCATTGTTTCCCTCAGCCTCTCGGCTTGAATTTGAGGTAGCTAAGAAAGCTAAGTAAAATGAAATATAGAAGTAATCTTATACACATAAGAATATTTACCTATGAAGGTTTTATGAAGCTCTTAAGACATACATATGATACTGCACTATACCAGAAGCCCTTAAAAGCCATCTTATTTTTTCGTTGAAAAAATGTTCCAGCTTCAACATCTTTAATGCCTAAAAATATATCAAAATCTTCAGGCAAAATTTAAATACTAATTAAATATTATATAGTTAAAAATTAGCATCCAAAATTAAAATAATGTTTCTCACTACTTTTTTTTTAATTTCTGCAGTAGGTTTCAACTAGTGAAAAGAACCAGGTCTCAAATCTCCCTGGTAAAATATCTCCAATTTCCTTCCCTTAAGAAAGCATAGATAAAGAGTGAAATCAGAATTGTTCTTATTGCGGATGTAATTCAGAAATCTTTTGCCTTTGTTTCCACAGTACAAAGTAAGGGTAATGGACAGCATCTCAAAAATCCCTTTCAGGGTTAACATTTTTTATTACTACAATACCTATCTTTCTCCTTCAGTGTGCTACAGTGGAAATTACAAAATGCTAGGATTAAGGCAATTTAGAGTTGCTTGTCTTAATCCTAGCATTTTGCACAACTTAGAGTTGCTTTGTCTTAATTCTAGCATTTGGAAATCTCCATCATAGTAATAAGGTTCCATACACAAAAGAAACAGTGTCTTGGTTGGACCATAACATTTAATTATTGTGTTTAAATTAGCAAATTCATAATCCACGCATGCTGTATATGCTAATACTATTAATCAGATTATGTTATTAAATCAAATGTCTCAGAAATACTTGATAATACTAAATAAGAGTTAATCTTATATAAATTGTACTTTAATAATAAAAGGGGGTATTTAATATTTATGTACATAAACTTCATTTAAAATAATACAATTAAACCCAGATTATGTTGTTTTATATGGAGACATACTTCATTTTATTTCTAGAGATAGTGAGATAAGATCTATATGATAGTGGCTCTATTAATTGAAACTTATTAAGCAGATTTACTAAATTTATAGCTGCTTATTAGCTATGTTTTCCCCAAGTCTCAGCTGAATTTACTCAAATAAGAATCATCCAGCCAATACACAAAATAGAAATTTTTTAAATGTTGCTTTAAGGACGGGCATGGTGGCTCACGCCTATAATCCCAGCGCTTTGGGATGATGAGGCAGGTGATCACTTGAGGTCAGGAGTTCAAGACCAGCCTGGCCAACGTGGTCCCCATCTCTACTAAAAGTACCAAAAATTAGCCTGGCACAGTGGCATGCACCTGTAATCCCAGTTGCTCTGGAGGCTGAGGCAGGAGAATAGCTTGAACCCAGAAGGTGGAGGCTGCAGTGAGCTGAGATCATATCACTGCACTCCAGCCTAGGCGAAAGAGCAGGACTCAGTCTCAAAAATATATATATAAAGGCCGGGCGCGGTGGCTCAAGCCTGTAATCCCAGCACTTTGGGAGGCCGAGGCGGGTGGATCACGAGGTCAAGAGATCGAGACCATCCTGGTCAACATGGTGAAACCCCGTCTCTACT